GGTCACACAGGTAGTGAGCAGCAGAGTCCTGCTTCAAACCCAACTCTTCTCAATACAAACCCTGCATTCTTTTACCTGCACCAAACTGCTTTACAGTAGCTCACAAGCTCTGCAAAGGGCATGCAAAAGCGGAAGGGTATGGCTGTAGACCAGTTGTCACTCAAGCACCTACCACCTAAGTGCAGCAGTGGTAGTGGATAGAGCTCTCTATCCACTGGAGTCAAAAGACCTGAGTTCAAATCCAGCCTCAGAGGCTTCCTAGCTGTGTGACCCTGGGCAAGTCACTTAACTGCTGTTTGCCTCAGTTTCCTCATCTGTAAAATGGGGATAACAGCACCTACCTCCCAGGGTTGTTGGGATGATAAAGTGAGATGATAATTGTAAAGCGCTTAGCACAGTGCCTGGCACATGGTAAGTACTATATAAATACTAGTTATTCTTATTACTTGAGACTATCTACTAAGAAAACGAGGGTCTGAGACTTGTATTGAGGGAGGGAACCTCCACACCAGTGACATCCTGGATCCCTGTTGTACTGACTTAATGTCATCTAGGTAGTATTAGGAAGGATATACATATATATACATACATACATACACACATTCTTCTAGTCTACAACAATTATTGTTCTAATATAGATTTCTAAGCCCTAATCAGAGGATCAAAGGATCACAGTTCTAGAAATAGAAGAAACTTCAGATGTCACATAGTTCAACCGTCTTTCTGTACAGATGAGGAGTCCGAAGCCTCGAGAAGTTGAGTGACTTATGTAACGTCACATGGGTAACAAGTATAAGAGGAAGAATTTGAATCCAGGTCCTCCAACTCAAAAGCTAGTGCTCTTGCCACTGTACTACACTGTATACTAAGTCAATGACCCATTTATTTGGAGCCATATTTGATGCAAAAATATCTAGTATAATAACAACTAGCATTGATCATTCAAATTTGTTGAAACAGGATTTGATCTATAATGAAATTTCTCTGCCTGTGGAAATATCAAATAAAGGACATGAGATGCTCTGAAGTTAATGACTGGTGTAAGATGACGCAGATTGAAATAGAAGAGGAGACTGTACTTCTTGTTTGTCTTTAAAAAATGAATGCAGAAATGATAAGTGTGTAAATAAATTTTTCTTTATAAATCTTTTTATTCTATTTTATGGAACTTAACATCCCCTTTTATCACATCTTAGTAGAGTATTGAGACCAAAGATCATTTCCTTCTTTTCTTTTTATCCTCAGCACAGTACCTGGAACATGGTGGTGCTCAGAATATACTAGGTGAATTGAACTAAGTCCTTCTGGGTACGCTAAAGAATCTTGTCTGATTCCATGGATAGAGGAGGTGTTCAATAAATACAAGAAAGGTTGAACTCTCTACTCTTTTTAAACTAGGACACTACAGTCGCAGCAGGCAAAAATGAAAACAAAACCTACTGGTCTATTAACATGCCATTTTCATTCAAATTTTAGGATATGGTTAAATTTTGCCATTAGGACTTGCTGCTTAATTAAGACAAAAGGAAACAAAATGTGAAAAAGGGATTGTTTGAGATAAGAAAAAGATAATTTAAGTCATAACTTATAAAACGGTAATTCACAGATTAAAGGACAGAGAAAGAAAGATGATAAATCAATATAGGAAAGCCACCAGCTGAGATTTCAAAGCACCGATGAAAAAAACAATTGTATTGCAAAGAGAATAAATGTAAGTGTTAAAAGTAGAATGAATTATTTAGATGTGATCCATCTTTTCCTTTCTGTAGAAGCCTGTGAAATCTGATTAACTCACTCAAACTGAAGATAATGATTTATGGTACAGAGCTCTTTCTTCTTTGGCAACATGAGCATGATACATGTTTGAGTAAACAACAAGGACACTATTACAATGATACATCAATACAATGTCTGTACATAAAACGCAAGGATCTTGGGTTGATTTTTTGGTGGTGTTTTTTTTTTTAATTTTTTTTTAGACCAGAGCAGCAACCATTCTAAGCAGTATTTTGTAAGTTTCCACTAGGCTTCTGGCTTACTCATGCTCTCACAGCTGCCAATCGATGTTTCAAACAGAACCAACGATTGAAATGTATTTTTCAGGTCAGTCAAAACTCTGAATACATGGAATCAGAGTGTCAGAGTGGAAGAGGTCTCAGAGGGCATCTAGTCCAATCCCAACTGAAGTATGGCTTCCCTCTATGACATCTTGACAAATGGCCACCCAGCCTCTCCTGAGAACCAAGTTCATTGGTATTTACTGACAAATTCATTGGTTATTTAAAAAACAACCAACCCACCAAACCATGACACTCTATGGAAACACGTAAACAGGGATAACTGCATAACCATCAAGGACCCAGATACCAGGCTTCCTGCTATAAGAATTCATTCCAGGAATAGAGTTTCAATCCCCAATACCTAACATGCCCCCACAGAGGAAAGAAAAGTCAAATCAATATTGGACAGATGACCTACTAGCAATCCACTGTGTGAGTTATTAGAAGCTGTCTTCTGGTACACACACGGAGGCATTACTCTCAATGCTTCCCCTTCCTCTCCTCTCACTTCTCAGCCTTTTGTCATTTGTTTTCTGACTTCATCATTCAACCACTTTCTCTAGGTAGTGCAGCAGAGGGGTAGCTGTTGTTATTATCTTTGTTTTACAGCTGAGGAAACTGAAGTTCAGCAATATTAAGTGACAAGCCCAGGGCCCTGCAACCAGTAAGTGTGTGATGCAGGATTAGAACTCAGATCTTCTTGACTCCCAGTCCACGGAGCAAGACTCACAGCTGCTCTGTTTCCAAAGCATAGAATCCCAGGGGTACCCTGGGTAACCTCATTGTTCCTAATATATGTAATGGTTTGGTTTAAAAGGAAAAAAGGTCTGCCCTTTTTGGGGATGGCACCTCAGACTTCAATTTCTACTCAAACTAGCAACCTCCCTTTGAACTCCCTTTAGATATAAAACTTCAATTGCATTTTTTTAAACTACACGCTTACCGTTGCATGTGAGACAAATGGGTTAACTGGGTGTATAGTTGGTTGGGCAACAAGCTAGTCTTAGAGAAATAATATCTGGGCCAAGCAGACTGGCTATCATTGTCGCTGAAACCCAAAACAGTGAAAAGAGTAGGTAGTGAAGCATGAGCTGACTTGGCAAAGTTGGCACTGACTTGCAGTTTTTCAGACAGCACACAGTAATTGTGTTCAAGGTGATACTTTCTTGGCAAGCCTGCAGACTCAGCCCCTATCTCTGGTTGCAACTTCAACTACCCAGAAGAACCCAGGGTCTAGGAATCATGGAAATGGAAAGAATCTGAGAAATCATAAAGTCTAATCAACACCTTTTCCAGGTGAGAAAACTAAAACTAGAGGAGGGAAAGTGATCTGCCAGGAGGTATAAAAATGGCTTATGGCAGATCCAGGATGAGAATACTTGTCTTGTGAATCCCAGCCTGGCATTGTTTCTACTACACCAGTTCTTTTGAGTTGGAACTTTCTCCTATGGGATTGCTTGGGAAAGGCAATGTGAGTATATCTCTTCATTCAGCCAGAGATAATTTATTTGGACTGTCAAATTAACCCTGTAAGTGCAGGGCTCATAAGATTATTCACTGCTTATTAACAAATTTCATGAGCTGATGAATTGGTCCCTAGGAAACAAGGAATAGAAAGAAATTCAGACTAGTCTTTGAATAGACAATTATTTTGAAAATCTCTTGGACAGAAACAGGAGATAGAGAACATTACAAAAAGCAAAATAGATAATTTTGATTACATTAAATTGAAAAGTTTTTGCACAAACAATGCCAATGTAACTAAGATTAGAAGGAAGGTAGAAAATTGGGAAAGAACTTTTACAACCAGCCTCTCTGATAAGGGCTTCACTTCTAAAATATATAGAGAATTAAGTCAAATTTATAAGAATACAAGCCATTCCCCAATTGATAAATGGTCAAAGGATATGAACAGACAGTTCTCAGATGAAGAAATTAAAGCCATCTATAGTCATATGAAAAATGTTCCAAATCACTATTGATTAGAGAAATGCAAATCAAAACAACTCTGAGGTACCACATCACACCTATCAGAATGGCCAACATGACAAAACAGGAAAATGATAAACGTTGGAGAAGATATGGGAAAATTGGAACACTAATGCATTGTTGGTGGAGTTGTGAAATGATCCAACCATTTTGGAGAGCAATTTGGAACTATGCAATAGCACTTCTAGGGCTATATCCCAAAGAGATCACACAAATGGGGAAAGGACCTACATGTACAAAAATATTCATAGCAGCTCTTTTTGTGGTGGCAAAGAATTGAAAATTGAGAGGATGCCCATTAATTGGGGAATGGCTGAGCAAGTTGTGGTATATGAATGTGATTGAATACTATTGTGCTATAAGAAATGATGAACAGGCCGACTTCAGAAAAACCTGGAAAGACTTGTATGGTCTTATGCTGAGTGAAATGAGCAGAACCAAAAGAACGTTGTACACAATAACAGCCACGTTGCATGATGACTAATATTCATAAACTTAACCCTTCCTGGCAATACAAGGATCTAAGACATATCCAGAGGCCTTGTGATGGAAAATGCTATCCACACCCAAAGAAAGAACTATGGAAGCCAAATTGCTAATTTTTTTCTCTTCTGTTGAGTTTTGTTTCCTCTTTCTGATGGTTCCTCTTATCGGTTTTAATTTCTACTTACAACATCACTAATGTGAAAATATGTTTAATATGAATGTAAATGTATAGCCTATATCAGATTATGCGCCATCTTGGGGAGGGTGGTGGGGAGGAAGGGGGAGAAAAATTTTAAACTCAAAAGCATATGGAAGTGATTATTGATAAATCAAAATAAATTAATAAAAAAAATAAGAAAATCTCTTAGCATATTGAAGAGAACACTTTCTGTAACAATAGTCTCTCTGGATTCAGGTTTCTTCTGCTGGTAGTAGGGACCACACTGAAGAGATTTCAGTACTCACCATGGAACCATGGCGCGATTGTGTCCGAATTTTTCTCAAAGCCGGCTCTCAGTGGGATCTGCTCCTCCTTAAACCATGTAATGATGTTTTCTTGGGCTGAGTGGGACACAGATCTCTCCACTCCCTGATTTCTGTCATTTGCAAAGGATTAATATTTTCAGTTAGATTTAATACTATAGATAAAGCTAGTATCTTCTAAAGGGACACAATATGCATTTAAAAGCCCAAGCTACCCAGTCAGAGGTACTGTGGGATTTTTTTCATATTATGTCCCAGGGCCCAGAAAATAGATCCTTTTCTGCATCTTTCCAGCCATCCTGACAAATGCAACTGACAAAAATGTCATGAAAATTTAAGTGAGCCATGGGTATGACCAACTGCTGTGTTTACTTTAATTCATTTTTAATATTATCTGGGAGCTTCATTAACTTCCAATTAAAATCTGAGAAATTAAGTATTAATATGTGGAGACTGCCTCTAGCACAAGTTTCCTGGAGAGAACCTATTTGTAAGCAAAGCATTCAAATCAAATTAAGTCAGTTCCTGCCTCAACCTTTTCATCCTTCTGTTTCCTTTTTTTTCCTCTGCTTCTACTAGTCTCTCTAGTTCACTTCCCTTCTCTCTCTTCTCTACTTTGAAGGTTTTAGTTCAGTTAAGAGATATCTTCAAAAATGAGGGTGTTTGAAAATTTATACAAAAAGGACAAAGCAGGCATTGAACTAAATGTTGGTAGCAAAGCCTCCTTAAAGTTCTGTAAACACAACACTCCATCACTCTTCTCTTTGCCTTTGCCTGGTTGTCCCCCCATGCTTTGAAGGCTCTGCCCCCTCATCTCTCCTCTTGCTTCCTTGAAGGTTCAGCTCAAAGCCCACAGTCTGCAGGAAGCCTTTCCTTATCCTCCTAACTGCTAATGCCTTCCCATCCAAGATTACATTCTGGCTCCTCTGTATAGATCGTGTATAAACCTAGTTATTTATTCTCCATTCAAATGTATGCTCTTTGAACACAGAGATCATTCTTTGCCTTTCTTTATATTCCCAGTACTTAACACAGTGCCTGGCACATAGCAAGTTCTCAATGCTTGATGACAAGCTGATTAGGGCAAAGGTGAGTCCCACCCATCCTCTGCCTTTCCCTTAAACATGTTTTCCACATCCTTGCATTAAATGAAGACTTACTTTCCTCTGATGACACCATGTCCCTTGGTGGAACCTAATGGAAGCTTCTCCTGCAGTGGTTGACATAGTCTTTGTTCCTCACTATTACTTCTAGACTATTATTATGCTATCATCTTTTGTTATGTCCCTTTTTGTGAATTCCATGGTATCTGATACCAGCCTCTCTCTCTCTTCCTTATTAAATTCAGCGATTGCTCCCTAACCCATCCCCGTTTTAATGACTTCACACTCAACCTCATGATCTTCCCTCCAACACTAATGATGTCAATATCCATGTTGATGATATTCCCAACACCTTGACCTGTTGCTTTATTTCATCAGCTCCTCATATCCACTCCACTGCAGCACCCATAAGCATACCCATGCTTTGGATGCTGTCACCACTCCGAACTGCTTACTTCCAAGGTTTTAAATTCTAAAATACCATTCTCTTATCACAACATCCTGTCCATACATCTCTTCCTCCTCCACAATTCTACTAAGTTTGGTGTTTTTTACCCTTGTTATGACCTCCACTTTCTCTACTTAATTTAATCTTCTACTTAATCAGGTCTCTCTTGCTTCACTTGAATTGGTCACTAGAAAACAAGAAATCCAGGCTCATCTTTGAAAAGCAATTGTTTGCTATCTCCACTTCTACTCTTAGATTGTCAAGTAAAGTCATATAATGGTGCTAACTGATTCCAGTAAAAACTAATGCTATATATGTTGCTTGGAGATCCTTTCATGCATATCAACTTGTGTTTATTTTTCATTCCCCGCAGTGACCATTGCAAATTTTTTTTTTCCTGCAAGCCCCTAACATCACCCCAACCCCCACGGCCTAAATTCAAAATAACAGAATCAGAGTTGGAAGGGACCTGAGAGGCCATTTTGTCCAACCTATATATGATCAAGAATCTCTTCTACAATGTCCCCCTTAAGAAACTATCTCCTCTTCACTTCAAAACCTCTATTGAGAGGGAATTTCTACTTGGGAAGATCAAGGTCACCCAATGTGAACTTTTGCAACTTCTCTAATTTCCATATCCAAATGTCTCTTTATATCTTTACGCATCCTCTTTTCTTTCCCTTATTTCTCAGAGAAGGAAGTCTCTTCTTTCCAAGGTTAGTGCCTCAAACCGTGCCCTCCATTCCTGCCCCTGCCATCTGTTGTGATTGGTCTATCAGTTGCCCTCTTTCTGGGCTGTGCCCTGAACATGCACAACCGTCTCCATGCCTTCAATCATTTTGTCTCAGCCGGCTCCTTTTCCTCGGCCTACAAACAGGTTGTTGTATCCCCAAGAGATGGAGGTTTCACCACCCTCAAGTACCTTCCTTTGACTCTCTTACCCATTGAGCCACTAGGTTACTTCTGCTTCCTTTGACCAGCAAACTCTTAAAAAAAAATTCAACAGTGTACCACTCATTCCTTCTACCTCTTTTGACTACTACTTACCACTAAATCATTTATAAGTGGATTCTTCTCTTATCACTCTACTGGAACCACTGTCTTAAAGGTTACCTTCTAACCCCTAAATCCAAAGATCTTTTTCTCAGATCTTCATATTCTTTGACCTTTGTAGTCTCTGACCTTGTTAACTACTCCCTTCTTAAAAGAAGGAAGGAAACAAAAACTTATGGAGCACCTGTTATGTGCCAAGCAATGTGCTGAGTGCTTGGCAAAAATTACATAATTTGCTCCTTCAACAACCCAGGGAGGTAGGTGCTGAGGAGACTGAGACAGACAGATTTTAAATGACTTGCCCAGGGTCACACAGCTAGTAAGTATCTGAAGCCCAAACGTGAACCGAGGTCTTCCTGACTCCAGGTCCATCGTTCTATCCACTGAGCCACATACCCCTTGAAATACTCTCCTTCACAGCAATGTGGCACTGTCCTGGTTTTCCTACCTCTTTTATCTCCCTTAATGGTTCCTTATCTTATTTCTACCCTCATTCCAAACCCATAACCCCCTAAAAATCCTTTGTTCTTCTCTTTGTATGCTCTTTATCTTAGTGATCTCATCTAAGACTCCCATAACCTCAACACCTCCAAGACCACGTAGTTCAACCCACACCTGAATAAGAATCTACTGTTCCACATTCCTAACAAATGGCCAAACAGCCTTTGCTTTAAAACTTCCAGTGAGGGGGACCTCAATATCTTTCAAGGAAGACCATTCCATTTTGGGACAACTCTTAATTGTTAGGAAGTTAAGAGATATTTTTAAAATAGGTTTAAATCTGCCTCTTTGCAACTTCTAACTTTTGTTAATCTTCCTATGCTCTGAGGGCAAGCAAATAAACTTAATCCTTCTTTCATATCTCAGCTCTTTGACTTCACAGGGACAGAAATCATGCTCCCCTCCCCCTTCCCAAAGTCTCCTCTTCCCTAAGCTACCCATTCCTAGTTCATTTAAATATTCATCCTCACACGGGATGCTCTCCAGGCCGTTCACCATCCCGGCCATCCTCCCTTGGATACACTTGCATTTGTCAATGCCCTCCCTAAAATGGGTATGCCATTCGATGTTCTCTGACCAGGAGAGAGTACAGATGATCCATGAATTTTGAAACATAATATTTCACTGCAGGGAACTCCTGGTGAGGAATTTCCTTTACCAATGCGCTGGGAGATTAAACCTCCTATACATTAGTATAGGAAATTCCAGGCGAGGAAACCTTGTCAATGCAAGTTGACACCTTTTCTGCAACTTACAGTGTTAGAGTGTTGCCTGAGAGGGCATTGAGGGGGTACTGAGAGTTTAAGTGATTAGTCCAGGGTCACACAATAAGTATGTGTCAAAGGCAGCTCTTCCTAACTCTGAGGTCACCTCTGTTCACAATACCTTACTGCCTCTCCACGTTTGTTGAAAAGACAGTGATAATCTGCATTGAAAATCATAATTTTGATCAGGTTCCACATACACAAAAGTCTGATAGTACTAAGGGATTTGGTCCATCCTTTGAAATTTTCTATTGTAAATTATAAAAAGACATTTTCCTGTAGCAGTATAATCTATAGACCCTAAAGATGCCAGCTTTATACCCTGAAGCTAGAGAATATATTGTGTTTGACTTGGTTGAGAAGTACATGGACTGCAACAGAGAATACAAGTGAATTTGGGCTCTGGCTATTCTTAACACCCTTGATTACCACTAGTGCCTAAAAGGTGTCCCTTAAAAAAGCATTAGAGATCAATCAACTCTAAATTCTTATGGATGCTAATGGAATTGAAATTTGCAAGTGCTAAATTTATTTTCCCAGACATAATATTAACTGTCTTTGCTCCAATTTTTTTTAGAGCCCCAAGTGCTTTTGCAGAAAGAAAGCTACCATACGTGACAAAATTTTCATTGTAGCACTCTGTGTAATAGCAAAAAAAAAAAAAAAATGGACACAAGATGGATGTCCATCAATTGAGAAATAGTTTTAAAAGGGGCAGAGCCAAGATAGTGGATTAGAGGCAGCAACCCAGCTGAATTGTCTCAACATTGCCTTCCAAGTAACTTTAAAATAATGCCTCACATAAAATTTTGGAGTGGCAGAACCAACAGCAATTTAGGATGAGACCTTTTTCTAGCCTAAGAAACCTTAGGTCGGCAAGAGAGGTCTGTGACACTGGGGTGAAGGTCCATCTGAGGCAGAGGCAGCACCAGTGGCTACAGCAGCAGCAGCTTTGGAAGATCTCATCCCAGAGACAGTAAGGGGGGCAGATCAGACAACTAGTCAGAAAGACATATAAAAGGGACTCTTTTCTGGCACTGGGTACAGCTGGCACTGATTAGCAATTTCATCACCCATATGCTGTTCTGGTCCTAGATAACAGGCAGAGAGGTGCACTGGTGGTCAATCACAAGGGACCCAAGTCGTGACTAAAGAAGGAACCTAGACATCATATTTCAAGAAATTATCAAGGAAAATTGCCCCAATATCTTAGCTCCAGAGGGTAAAATAGAAATGGAAAGAAT